TGAAGAGAAGGATCTGGTTTGCTATGTATTACCGATGAATTTGACCAGTCAGTATTGCCTAAATTGAAATCGCCATTGAGCATGATACTTGCACTAGATATATTGCATATCCTATTTAGTGAGGTACTTAGATGTTCTAGTGATTCCCCTTTGTCTGATGGTGGTATATAGTATGCTCCAAGATAAGTGGTTTTATTTCCTGTTGGAGTTAATTTTGCCCAGATTACTTCGCAATCTGTGGCACCTGTGATGTAATCAGTGTGTTAGTGATTGCGAGTAGCACACCTCCATAGCCATCTTTCCTGTTTTTAGTGTAGATCGTGTATTTGGATGGTGAAATATATTCATATGCTGATGTGTCATTTGAAAGCCAGGTTTCAGTACCAAATATAACATCAGGTTTGGGGTGCGACTTTTTACCCCAATATACCCCAACATACCCCAATATACCTGAAAAAACAGTTTCAACAAAATATTATTGAATAATAATAGCATTTTAGGCATTTCCATGTTATTTTAACACCAACAATACTTTATTTTATAAATATGTTTAATTTTAAATCACTTTTTTCATTGAAACTTGTTCCGTTCTTGTCAGCCGCTTACGATCACAAAATGACTTTTTACCCCAATATACCCCATTAAAACGTTTCAGTTCAATATTCATGTTCTGGAATGATATTTTAACCATATTTATTTCAAAAAACAATCTATGCACATTTGTGTGTATTTAGAAGCTTTTTAAACTATAGTTAACTCGAATACTGATAATGATAGCACTAAGTGTCACAGAATAGAAGTTCCTTCATAACATATGTTCCAAATGGAAACAGTATTCTGGAATATTGTTTCCACTGGAATAAATATTACAGTAAATGTTCCTAACGGAATAAATGGTATAGAATATTTGTTCCAACAGGAACAGATATTATGACATTGTTTATAACAGAGTTTCCAGTGGAACTTCAGTAGGCGGAACAAATATACCTTGACATAAAGACCAGAATCGACCTGAAAATATACAGGGCAATATTTAAATTGCAATTTCTATTGGGGTAAAAAGTCACGCCGTCAGGTTTGCATGAGTCTATTATTTCATCAATTTCTGGCTTTTTATTTTTCATTGATTGAAAATTAATAGTGAGTACTCGAAGAGGTGGAACTGTACTTTGTTTCTTATTCTGCTTAAATGGTTAATCTTGCCTTATATGATAAAAATTATAATAGATAGACACTTTAAATCATTAAAATGATCAGCAAGGCAAGATTACATTTTGCTGACAAAATTTATCTTTTGTGTTATGAGCAAAAACTAAAGAAGATAGAAACTAATCATAACTAACAATCGTCATTAAAGGGCAATAACTCCAATAAGGAGTCGTCGGACGATTTTCTCCATATTGTCTAAATTGACTAAATGATCAGCAATCCAAGATCAACAAAACAGAGATTTTTGTCATGAACTCTATTCTCATCTACAATGTTGGAGAGTGTCCTTTGTTGAATATGCACATAGACCATGGTGAGCGACACTGACTCTTTAGAGCCTCTAGTTTTTTTTACCAGAATAGCCTAAAATTTTACAGAATGTGCTGATTTTTTGCATTATTTTATACACATTAGCAAATTGTCATATATAATTTGAAAAGAATTACTGAGGTTAATTTTTTTTAAGACTTAAATTCAAAGTAACAGAGGTAACAATCCAAATATTTCACCTTTGTCATTGGCTAAAATTTTCTAAATTGCTGTAATTACAAATATACTTACATGTCTAAATATTTGTCTTTGTCATGTGAAATATTCACTTATTATGAGCAATATGATAACTATATTTGGTATATGGGATCCTTGCAAGATCTAAATGAGCGTCAGGGTAGTGTTACCTGACCCTGACCTCATTTCATGGATAAGTGATAAAAGTTAAGTTTTCGTGATCAAGTACATATCTCGGATACTATTTATAAGCAATATGTCAACTGTATTTGGTGTATGGAATGATTATAAGGTGTACATGTCCGACTCGCAGGGTAATCCGCCCTTGACCTGTTTTCATGGTTCAGTGGACAATGTTTAGTTTTTGTGGTTTTGTCTATTTCTCCTGATATCTATACTATAATCGTTGGTAATGTTTAGTGTATGTGATCTTTGTAGTAAAACCTTTATATTACAGACTTTCAACATAAATTCATTCATGATAAGTAAAGCAGTCATTAGAAATTTAAAATGTTTTTTTACATAATTAAACATTTGAAATTTTGTGTCCACCTACAGTTGGGTAGCTAGGACTGATAGGAAGTGGATGCCAAACTATCGCTGAGCGTAGCGAGGCGAAAAATTTTTAGACCATTATATGCAGAAAATGATATTTGTATGGACATTTTCCCTGTATGCAGAATTTTATTTTTTTTTCTCGAAACTACCATCATTTAATTCATAAATATTTAATGTAAAAGTTTCCCACCCAATCTACATTGGACAGAATGTTGAAATATTGACAGTATCAATAATATTCTATGCAATGCTACAAAATGTATATTCTGTAAAGATATAAGAGGTATATTTTATTGAAAATAAAACTAATATTAATTATTTTTTTTCTATTTTTTTGTTGTTGTCAAAATGATGTGGATGCTTGAGCATCTGAGCATACATGCAAGCTGACCTATACGCTTGATTGGAAACAAAACTGTTGATTTCTTATCCCCTACTTAGATATAAAAAGTAGGTAGGTTTCCCCTTTTACAAAGGTACTATACAGATTAAGGATTTACCACTCAAGGGCCTATAGGGTACATGTAACATAACTGACAGTCACAACTTGTTCGCTATGCCCGTGTCTGCAGTGCCGTTTTGGCTGTCGATGAACATAATCTATGTATTACTGGTAAAATATTAAGTCGGGATTTTCGTTACCACAAATTACTTAAAACCTTTGCTAATTTTTTCCATAAATACATAGATTTGGTTTGAAAGTTTGGCTGCACCCGTAGAAAAATTATTTCAAACGGGATAGCACATCCTATGTTTTACGGAGATTTTGTTTACCGAGCCCGGAAATTTAGATACGATCCGAATAATCTTATCGATCCTTTAAATAAACTTATTCTGAAAGGTTGCCTTTTAATATTGTTTTATTGGTATAAATATTGATTTTGTTATCAGTAAATTAAATCCAAACCGTAAATATTATTGTTATATACATATGTACATTCACGGTTCTACAATCTGTCAATACCTGTATTTTGGCATTGCACAAAGTATAATGTTTTTCTCTGACTGTTGAAAGACGTCTCTACACTAAATCCATTGGATGTTGGATGTGTACTGATTGATATTTCAGTCTTAGATACATGATTTTTTATCAGTTGTTATTGGCTTTGAACTAACTGTCAGTAACTGCGAGTACTCTCGGACCTGTACTTGGTGTCTTTTTTGTTGTGGGGATGTATGAACTCACTGCCACGTCCGGTTTGTGTTTTTGTTAGTTGTTTTTCTGCTTGGTATTGATCTGATGAGTTAAGTCCTTTTCAACTGAGTTTTATAGTTTGTTCTTATGTTGTACTGTTACACCACTGTCCAAGGTGTGAGGGAGGGTTTGGCGCCTGTAAACTAGTTTAACCCCGCCCCATTCTGTATGTGCCTGTCCCATGGGAGCCTGCAATTCGTTTGTTTAAGTATATCATATTTGTATTTTGTTCATTGTTTTGTGCATAAAAAATCAGACCGTTGGTTTTCTCGTTTGTTTTACAATTGTCATTGCGGAGACTTTTATGGCTGACTACGCGATATGTGTTTGCTCATTGTTGAAGGTCGTTCGGTGACCTATAGTTGTTAATTTCTATGTTATTTGGTCTCTGGTGGAGAGTTGTCTCATTGGCAGTCATACCACATCTTCTTATTTTATAGTAAATGTCGAAACACAAAATGCAATAAACGAAACGTTATTTGCGGATTCTCAGCTAAGATAATATAACGACATCTTAGAGAAAGAACAAAAGCTAGTCGGCTAGGATTAGGATTGATATGTCCGAATAGGGTCACAACATTTCCTGCGAACTGTCACCTTGTGAATTAGCACGTATATAATCTGGCTCAATGTGTCAATCTAGAACAACTCTGAATATATTCATATAACTTTAACATGTTTTCTTTTTGCAGGAATACACGTCACATAAATGATGCACGAAGTAGTTGCTGTTTAACATTAAGCCACCATTCACCATCCATCAATCCATCCTTCTTGGGTTTTGCGGTAATTGTCAGATAAATTTCTTCTAGACGTCCACATGATTTGTAGCAAATTAGATTTAAGTATTAGGACGACCTCGTGTTCAAAGTACGACGACAAGACCTGCATGAGCAGAAAGAGTTACCAATAGATCAAGTATACCTATAATGAATTAAAAATACACTGTATACAATAACAGTGGAAACAATAGACACCGGGTTGGCATTCAAATCAATAGGATAAAGTAAGTACTAACATTTATTTTTACCTTTTCATATATCCCGATACTCTCTGAAAAATTGTATGATCCGGATAAAGCCATAGAGAGAATAACTACTTACTTTTAGTCCTAGGTTAGCAATTATCATAGTTGATATTAAATGTTCATCTTGAATATTAATATAAAATGTAACTTTGAAATTCAGGATAGTGACATAAGTGAAGACGATATAACCTCGAGAGTCCAGGAAGTCGGTACAAAGTAAATTTTGTTAAGAAGTTGAACCACTTTCTACCTCCTTTTTCATTCAAAAATATTTATTGAATGAGTGTCTAGTATATAGTTTTGTCTGCTCTAAATCTGTAGTTTTCATTTAAACAAGAAATAAGATAGGCACACAAAGGTCGAACTTCCATAAATCAGCAGTGTTATACATATAGATCTCTTGAAATGTATAAAGAATTTAATCAATGAAAGGTAAACATCAGATATACATTTTGTTATCTAAGTGTCAATCATTGATTTAATATACAAATTGAATGAGGAAGAAAGATTATAATGCATGATATGGCATTATTATATAAAATATGCATTTTTATTGTTTCTGTGCAGACGTTTCAGTTTTATGTTTCAGGTGAGATGATTTATTTTTCATTATTTTTTTTTACCGAATTCTTTGAAATTTTATATGCACTTTTTTTTAAAGATATCGTTTGACTGTTAAAAAGTGTAGCAGGGAATGAAGATTGTCGTCCTTTAACCTGGTACAATCCACTTCTTTCCAAGTCTTAAAAATAGTACTGGTTAATAAATCATATCTAAACACATATTGTCCCAATTTTTGTCTCCCCTCTTCGAAGTCGGAAAAACGAGACTTAGGCGTGCTGTTTCGCGTTGTATAAGTTTGTCATTTGATCAGTTTACGGGGAACCACTAGTGGTAGGTCAATGATATTTGGTATAAAGTTGTATAAAAGAGAGCCAAAGGATACCAAAGGAACATTTAAACTCATAAGTCGAAAATAAACTGACAACGCCATGGCTAAAAGATAAAAAAAAGACAGACAAACAACAGTACACAAAACACAACATAGAAAACCAAAGACTGAGCAACACGAACCTTACCAAAAACGGGGTGATCTCAGGTAAGCAGATCATGCTCCACATTTGGCACGCGTCGTAAGCTTTGGCAAATCTCATTTCCATGGAAATTATTTATCCCCCTTACTCGTAGTCTATTGACTTTGAAATGTATTAGTTTGTGATTAGGTCAGTTTAAGGGGAACCCCTAGTGGTATGTCAATGATATTTGGTTTGTACTTTTTAGTAGTTGTATTAGCATTGCCACATTTCATTCCCATGGAGATTATTTGACTCCATTCTCTCGGTTACGGTCTGTTAATTTTAAATGTTTGCTTAGTTTTATTTGTTAAAGTTTGTGATTAGATCAGTTGATGAACCGCCCGTTGTACTAGCATTTGCAAATTTCATTTCCATGCATGGAGATAATATGGCCCCGCCCCTAGTCATGGTTCATTTACTTTTAAATTTTATATACTTTACAAGTTGAAGTTTGTATTTATGTTAGTTTAAAGGTAACCGCTTTTGAAAAGTCAATAGTATTTGGTATGCAGTTTCATAAGCATTGGCACTTTTTGCATTTCCATGGAGGTATCATGCAGGTTTTTTTACCCTGTACCTTCAAGTCATGAATCGTTGACCTTGAATTTTTTATAGTTCACATGTTGCCATTTAGATTCAACATACACATTTGCATTATACTGTCAAAATTACAAAAAATAGCGAGACATATCTCTGTGTCAACATTGTATTGACAATAAACGATAGTTTTAACATTTTGTTCAATTTGTCTTATTTTTTATGAATAAAAGAGGATAAATGGTATATGCTAATAAGACAGCAAGCTAACACAATTAACCAAAATGAGTGTAGATTTCAGCATACATTCTTCAACAATGTATTTGAAAGCGCTAAGTCGAGTTTCTAAAGGTGTATATATGTTCCGGACCCTTTGAGTATTTGGACCATACGCGTTTGGTTCGTCCTGAATATGCATGAAATATTTGCCACTGGACGTTAAGCAACCAACAATCAATCATTCAATCATACGCGTTTGGTCGGACCATATAAGTATTATACTTGTTTGGTTATTAACTGGCTGGACCATATGAGTATTTAGACTATATAGGTATTTTTCAGATAAATTCTTGCTTTCGCAGGAACACACAGCTCAATCTCCGAACCAAAAACGGCATACGTTACTAATTGAATTTTTTTATCTTTTAAACATACTGAATTTGGTGCATTTGTTATTTTATCTTTGATAGCGTCAATTTAAAGCGCCTTTCTCCTGGCTGTCGACTTTTTCGTCCGTAAGTGAAACCACAGGGGTTTGAGACCGATGTACCGTTTTTTTGTTTAAATTATTATTCCTGAAACAAATTTCTTTTAATTTCTGCTTATTTTCAATCAATGATCATGTCTTGGATCGCATCAGAAGGAACAAGAACACATCAAATATCTAAAAACAATTTGAAATATTCAAGAAATTTAAATTTAATAAACACAATAAAAATTAATTAACATTCACTTTGTTTGATTTGATTAATCATTAATATTGATTATCATATGATTGCATACGTCAAAATTTCATTTGTTAGGAACTCATAATTATGCGACACCTTTTCAACGTTAGCAATCATCAGTTAATTACCTGGACCATACGCGTATGGTCGGACCATATGAGTAAATACGAAATAGTTATACACCGAGGGATAGGTGTGTCTGGATAAGAAACCCCGTCGGCCGTCGGCCGGAGGGGTTTCTTTTCCAGACACGCCGTATCCCGAGGTGTATAACTTACTTACACCCAATTCTAAACCCTATATTTGTTAACATTGATTATTAAATGAAAACAAACCCATAGCATATTTATCGACACTATAAAACCATGATTTATAAGATGTTTTTTTTATTATACATGAAACCCCACTAGTAACCTTTCTTTGGTTATCTTCGTTCAAACTTTGACAAGTGAGTATATTTTACAAATGTCAATTTGTTTTGCATATTCCCGTTAAATCCTGTGCTAATACAGCTACGAAAACAAATTCCTCCAATAATAATGATAATAATTGAAATAATATTTCGCTCTCTTTTAAAACTGTAATTTTCATATATGACATTGATCAGAGTAACTGTTGATTTGAACATTGCATGCAGTATGGTTTTTACTTTTGAAGTTCATTTCAGTCAACGGTGTACATATTTAATTACATTACTGTTTTCATTTTAAAATAGGTGCCTCAAAGAATAGTAATGAAAACATTAACCAAATCAACGAGAGTTTAGTTATTGGTAAGTCAACGGATGAATAGTCATAAAAGAGTGGTAGGCAGATTAGCAAAAATTAAAATAATTTTGAAGTCAACGAAAGTGTAGTCATTGAAGAGGGTAAGCACATCAAAAGTGTTTAACCATTGGCAAATAAACGGAGATATAGTCACATAAGAGTGGTAAGCAACTCATCGAGTGTTTAACCACTGGCAAGACAACGGAAATATAGTCACATAAGAGTTGTAAGCAACTCATTGAGTGTTTAACCACTGTCAAGACAGCAGAAATATAGTCCCATAAGAGTGGTAAGCAACTCATTGAGTGTTTAATCACTGCCAAGACAACGGAAATATAGTCAAATAAGAGTGGTAAGCAACTCATTGCAATTGAGTGATTAACCACTGGCAAAGCAGCGAAAATATAGTCACATAAGAGAGGTAAGCAAATCATAGAGTGCTTAACCATTGGTAAGCCGACGTAAATATTGTCACATAAGACTTGTACATACATCATCGAGTGTTTAACCATTGGTTACCAAACGGAAATATATAGTCACATAAGAGGGATAAGCAAATCAACGAGTGTTTAACCGTTGGTAAGCCAACGGAAATATTGTCACATAAGACTTGTTAGCAAATCATCGAGTGTTTAACCATTGGTTACCCAACGGAAATATTGTCGCATTAGAGTGGTCAGCAAATCATATAATGTTTAATCTTTGGTAAGCCAACGGAAATATTGTCCCATAAGACTTATAAGCAAATCATCGAGTGTTTAACCATTGGAAAATTCAAAACGGAAAGTCCTTTATCAAACTGCAAAACAAAAGCTCAAACACTTCAAACGAATAGAAAACAACTGTCATATTCCTGACTTGGTACAGGCATTTCCTTATGTAGAAAATTGTGGATTAAATCTGTTTTTATACTAGTTAAACCTCAAAATTGTATGACAGTCGCATACAATTCCATTACATTGACAACAATGTGTGAACAAAACAAACAGACATAATAGGTAAAAATGTCAAAAATTGGGGTACAGCAGTCAGCATTGTGTTATAATCTTAATCACTATAAAAACAAACAAATATGTCATCAAAGAAAAACAAAATGGCATATAGACAAAACACATAAGCAAAAATGAAAGAATACAAAAAATGACCATATCATAATAACACAATGGCGGGATGTATAATTATCGAGCCACGTCAACGGAATATTACCAAAAATGGACTAAACAGTAAAGGTTAATAATATACAAAGAACACTATAACACGTAATTAAGATGATAAACAACGTCAGTACCTAGAATCTATACTTCAAGACATGTATTATTTGTAAAGTTTATACGGAATATTTATCAACAAGGTCTTGATATCCCCCGATGAACTTTTTTTGAAAGACGAGACGATCTTTGACATAACCCTGGTTCAATTCATCAACTTTCTGCTCAGACACTGGTGACATTTTATAAAGTCTGAGTAGCCGAATGGGTTGGGAACTGTATATCCCATATGCAGGTTAAGTTGGTATATTGCTACTAAGGTAAGGAAAAATGATAATTGTCTCGTTTGTCATAGAATCTGGTACTGAGATTACCACATGTCAAATTCGAGGTATCAGTCTAAAAATGAGGCGAAGGAAACGGAAATATTGTCACATAAAAGTGGTAAGGAAATCATTGAGTGTTTAACCATTGGTAAGTCAACGGAAATATTGTCACTAAAGAGTGGTAAAAAAATCGAGTATCTAACCATTGGTAAGCCAACGGAAATATAGTCACATAAGAGGGATAAGCAAATCAACGAGTGTTTAACCATTGGTAAGTCGATGGAAATATAGTCACATAAGAGTGGTAAGCAAATCAACAAGTGTTTAACCATTGGTAAGTCAACGGAAATATAGTCACATAAGAGTGGTAAGCAAATGATCGAGTGTTTAACCATTGGTTAACCAACGACAATATATTCACATAAGAGGGATAAGCAAATCAACGAGTGTTTAACCATTGATAAGTCAACGGAAATATAGTCACATAAGAATGGTAAGCAAATCATCGAGTGTTTTACCATTGGTTAACCAACGAAAATATAGTCACATAAGAGGGGTTAGCAAATCAACGAGTGTTTAACCAATGGTAAGTCAACGGAAATATTGTTACATAAGAGTGGTGGGCAAATTAAGTAGAATTTAAATCGTTGGTTAGTCAACGAAAAAGAAGTCGTACAAGAAGGGTAAGCAAATCAACGACAATATAATTATTGGTAAGTCAACGAAAGTGCAGCCATAGAGGAACGGCAAGCAAATCAACGAGAACTGAATCATTGTTAAGTAATAAAATATAAGTGTAGTCATAGAAGGATGGTACTGAGCAAATTAACGAGAGTTTAATCATTGGAAAGTCAACGAAGGTGTAGTCACAGAGTAATATTAAGCAAATCAACGAAAGTTTAATCATTGGTATATCAACGAAAACGTAGTCATAGAAAAGGGTAAGCAAATCAATGACAATTTAAATCGTTTGTTAATCAACGAAAGTGTTGTCATATATCAGTGAAAAGGATATCAACGATAGTTTAATCATTAGTATGTCAACAAAAGTGTTGTCATAGATGAATGTAAGCAAACCAACGAGTCACAGATGTATTAACAGATGACTGGTAGTCAAAGCAAAAAGAGTTAATTACTGATTGGTCAACGAAAGTGTAGTCAACGAGATCTGAGTAATGAACATGAGTCGAAAAGTGTACGTCATTTGGATATAATTTTTGCATATTTTTGTCCATTTTCATTTACACTTTTGTACATTTCGGTTTCTACAAAATTCCGTCAAAGCGTTTTGTAATATCGGTCCGTCAATATAATCTATGTACTGATAAAGTTCGTAGACTGATCGTCAATTCGTTTTTCATAGAAATTTATTTTAGATCTTATACTCCTTTGTCTTCAGGAATGAATATGTGACCAGTGGTTAAGCGACGCATTAAAATGCTTCCTTAAAAATATTTATTTCTCTGACATATAAAAACTTTCAAAACTTATACGTCGAAGAGAAACTGACAACACCAATCCACACCTCCCTCCAAACAAGTCCAAAAAAAACCAACACATAGAAAACTTAAGACTGAGCAAAATAAGCCCCACCAAAAACCGATACATAAGAGAAAATGCTATACTTATTAAACAATTTTTCATCTGCTCAATTTACACATATAGTCATAAAGTTAATACGTTATTCAGTGCTAACCATTGTGATTGAAGACATTTTCAATACAATTTTCGAATTATGTTCATGTTTTTTGTAAATGAATGTTTTCATTTATTTTATTTAATATTTAAAATTTGCCAAAATCTTCACTACAAGAGTTGTGCTTTTAGAAATGTTTTGACAATACGAGTAACTGTAGCATGAAATGATTTCAGGAGTCGTTATAAGCAATTAAACTTTAATCTCTAATTCTAATGACGTAATAATAATTTCTTTTAATGATAGAATGGATATATTTTGAAGACGACAGAACAAACGAAAATATTGTTTTTTTTCCCAATTCATTCAAAGTAGTATCCTGTTTAAAAAAAACAACAAAAAGGGACAATAGCTTGCCATGCTGTATGGGTTTTGCTCTATATGGAAGGCCGTACGGTGACCTATAGTTACTTCATTTGGTCTCTGTTGGTAAGTTGTCTCATTGACCATCATGTCGCATCTTCTTATTTTTATATGAGTTAACGAGAAGTAATTTTCTATTTTACTGTAACAGGTATCTTTACTGGAATAATGATCTGTATGAGTTGTTATGTTGTTACTGGATGGATTGTTGACATAGTTAGAAAAAGGTATGTACATGAATACAATGAGCATTCACGGAAATTACATTCAGAAAAATGAATGATGCAACAAAATTTAATTAATATGAACTATTTGAACCAAGTTCCTATGTTGACCGAAAATGCATAAACAATATATTTGAAAATTGTTGAAAAGGAAAGTCCTCTTGAATACTTTTTTAAAAACATAATATAATATGCTGCATGCGCAAAACAACAAATATACATTATCATTGTTTGCCTCTATTTGTATGTCTTTTAAGGAGGAGTCGGGTTGTTGGTAGTTGATTTTGATCTGTTGTACTAAGTGTGTTCGCGGTGTTTTTAGGAGGATTCGGGTTGTTGGTAGTTGATTTTGATCTGTTGTACTGAGTGTGTTCGAGATGTTTTCTGTGATTCCTGTTATCATTTTATGTCTAAATTAATGTATTATTTATTATCTGTTTTACAGTTGTTGTTGACAACTACAAACACCCTACAAACAATTAACATGGCAAATACAGTTACAAAACAAAATCCTATGTTTCCTCTGAAAGCACTGAGACTTTTTAGACTAGGTCTCACTGCTAGTTGAAAAAAAACGATACCAAAGGGACTATCAAAACTCATAAAACGAAAAGAGTGCGACACATCTTTGGATAAATCTTCTATGAAACACGACGAAAAGACAAACACTTTTCTATAAAACATTACATAAAAAAAAGACGGAACAACACGAACCGCACCAAAAAACCGGTTTTATGTTAAAATAACAGTACTATGGGTATTTTTTCTAAGCAATTGTATTTTGAAGAAACTCATTATCTGTAGTTTATAGCTATTCAAACGTAATATGGTACCGAAAATTGCAGGCATGTATTTTGTAAGCGTATCTCGACATCAGATGACAATAACGAATACAGTTATGCTAGGACAAGCAGAGAGAACGTGCGCCACACAGACTACGTTGATCTACAAACTCTACACTCACAAGTTAGATCTGGAAATGGGAATGACTTGTCAAATGGAAAGACGTCCTCTGAATCACAGAACATCGACATGAAAGATAAAAATGGTATGGTCAGCACGTACATGGATATGTCTGGAAGCGCAGGACATTATGAAAATAATGCTTCTTTATATGTGGACGTTCGTCTTTGAATCTCTAAAATGATTTCCGACATTAGTCTTCTTATCTTTATATTTGAAGTAAATAAATTTTAAAAAAGGTTAAGAAGTTACAAACAAAATAAAAGATGTCATGTTTGCACTTTGTGTTTTGATCTTGTAATTGAAGAACGAATGTGGTCTTTTTCAAGTCTGATAATCAACAGCCACCGATACAGTTTTTCTCTAAATGTCTGATTTCAGGGTCAATTAATTTATACAATAAATAGTACTTACCTTTTATGCTGAATTTAATTGCCTGATAATATTTCTCATTTTAGTTTTCCAATGTTTCAGTCATTTGACGAGATATAATTTGGAAGAATATAATCAAAGTAGCTATTTGTTTACTCTAATTAGCACGTAAATCATGATGTATTGATTTCACTTAGATACGTAGAACAAGTTGTTCTATCAAGTGCCTTAGTGATTTACTGAGTTATTTTTGAATTGTTCACTTGAAGTCACTCTTTGGAATCTTGAATATTTTTAGCTGTTCGTCGCGTTTAATTTCATGGTTATTAGATCAACTTTCATATCATTAACATACGAAAGTAACAGATCATGTGGACATACTTATAATGTTCAGTTGATTCTGGATAAATAACTCCAATCACCTCATATTTAAATGTGTGTTGACATAACTGACAGTATGAAGCCTTGAGTGTTTGCCCTTCTACTGTATTATATGATCTAAGTGGCGGAAGACAATATGGAAAAGAAGGAAGGAAATCAAATTGTAATAGAAGTGTTTGTGTTCATCCAAAACATTTTGATATGCTAGAACATTTTCGTGTTTCCGATCTAAAAAAGAAAAGGTTAGATCAAGGCGTATTACTTTCATCTTGGACAATTTACAAATTCTTTCTTTATAATGTTCTTAAGACAATAGCATGACGATTGCTTGTTGTGCTTATTTGCAAAATAGAACGTGTTTTACATTATGAACTCCGAAATTTGACTCCTTCCATTAGTTGAATTTCTATTATTGCAACACACAAACAAACAAAAAGAGTCTGCTAATGAAAATAAACGTGATTTGATTCAAACAAATCTAAGATATTATTTATGATTGCATATCAAGGAAACAAAATACTACACAGAAGTTCTTAAGAATAAAAATATAAATGCTACTACATTCAAGGCCTTGCGCCCAAAAGAGGGTCTTCTAGTAAATAATCATGTCACTACCACATTTTCGCTTAAGGCTTCTTCTGGATACTGAAATATCAATTCAGCTCGGCTTCAAGTAAGTGTTTAACAACTAATATATCTGTTGTTAACCTTCTTTGTTACTTTTTTTAAAGAACTTGTTATCAATTTTTGTAATTAAGCATATGAAAATAATGGTATTACTCGTAAACTATTTGGATGTTTTGGATAAATTACGTGCTTTTTTCCGTTCAGTTCGGTTGAATTTTCGACTCTGTACACTACAATTATACACAAGCATATCAAACAGAAGTTCTCTTTATTTAATCAAATGGTCTTTTGAAAATCTGATTGCAAATTTATTTATAAAAACTCAATAGAGCCAGCTTCTGTAACGAAAAAGGTAAATATGCTGGAACTGTGGTGAGATGATTAAAGCTGTTAATTTTCTAGTTGACAATATTTTCCGTCTAAATTACAATCAATTGATAAATTTCAAAACACTTACCTTACCTTAATGATATTGTTGCCTTAAATAATCAAGAATTTTCTATTTTTACTGTAGAAATTTACACAAGGTAGCTTACTTTGAATAAATCTAATACAGACAACAATGATTGTCCTTATCTAGACTTGGATATTTCAGTTGCACATGGGAAGTTTTATACAAGATTAATAACAAAAGAGACAATTTTTCGTTCCTTTTTATTAATTTTCCATTTTTGGATGGAGATATTCCTTTAGCGCCATCTTAGGGTGTGTATAATTCACAAGTTGTTCGATATGCCTGTGTCTGAAGTCTGAAATTTTAATGAACATAATTTATGAATAACTAATGAATCATTATTTCTTTACAACAAATTAATGCAAATTTTTACTAAATTCTTCCATAGATACGAGTATTTGGTTAGGAAGTTTGGCTGTACCTGTAGAATTCTTATATAAAAGGGATATCACATATTCCAGTTTTACAGTGATGTGGTTTATAGAGCACTTGCAGTCGGATACGATCCATGTAAGCTCATTGTTCTATTCATTAATCAATTGAACGCCGTAATGAAATTTTAACATATTATTTTTATCGGTACTTGCAATCAGTTTGCTTTAACAATTTGATAAATTAAAACATATTAAGCATATATTTATTGCTATTTATGTACAGTTACGATTAGTTATGATCCTACATCCTTTCAATACTGTTTATCGATATTAATTGCACAAGGTCATGCTTTTCTTTAACTGTTTATAACGCCTAAACACTTAATTCATTTGGTGTGCACTGATTGATACTCCATTTTGGGAAAACATGGTTTATTTTTCAGTTGTAGTTGACTAGCTTTCAGTCACTGCGAGTACATATATATATATATATATATATATAAATATAAGTGCCTATAAATAGCAGCACATGACATACAAATCTATGGGAGTGTGGATTAATCAGTACAGAGATTAATTCAATTACACAAATGAAATTATAGATTGCCTAACAATGTAATTTTAACACACTATTTAGTATGTAAATATAAGAATGTTTAAAATATTTACAAAATGATGAAAATAAACGCAATATTTCGCTAGACTAACTAGCTTTATCAAGCGTGCATCTATCCAGGTGAAATCGGATGTAGATGATAAGAAACTTTTGCAGCTCAATGTATATGTTGCACTTGAATTTAGCTGCCTTGAAAATAATACATAATTTGGATGAAGTTCAAGATTTGTACAAAATTGGTAGTTGAAGTTATCAACGTCCATTGGCCAATATTACAGGATAAAAAGGACGATGCTGTGTACTAAATTATTCTTTATCTTTCCTGTATCTTTTCTCATCTTTTTCGTTAAGACCATCAGGTTCTAAAGTGTGGAGTTGGTGGATCCAAAAATTTTCTCTTCTCCTTCTCGCCGTGGTGTCCCACTCGGTGTTGACTTCTATGATTTGGAAGGTAACATTATCAAAAGAATGTTTCGTTGAACGAAGATGTCTTGTGAGAGGACAGTTTTTGTTGGTTTTGTACCATGAACGATGGTTATTGAGCCGAATATTAAATTTGTCCATTGTTTCTCCCACATACTGAATGCCACATGTGTCACATGTTAATATATAAATTGAGTTCTCCGTTTTACAGTTGGAATTTGAGTAGATGGTATAATTTTGTTTAGTAACGGAGCTGATGAAAGAACTGCTTGTATTGGCAGCTTTACAACACAAGCAGTTCCTTCGACCACATTGTTTGTAGCAACCGGGAGATGGAGTAGGCTGCTTTGCTAATACAGATGTCACTAATTTGTCACGGATGTTTTTAGGTCTTCTGAAGGCCATGACTGGTGGTGAGGAAAATACTTTTTTAAGATTTGAATCATTTTCTATAATTTTCCAATGCTTCTGAACAATGGAAGACACATTTTTAAAATCAGGATGGTAAGTGAGTACAAGGGGTGTTCTGTTAGCTGCTTTATTCTTATCTTTGTACTCTAGAAGTTCTTGGCGACTAGTTTTGTTTGCTCTTTCGAAAGCGCTATTAATGATGTTGTTATTGTATCCTCGAACAACTAGATGTTTACGTAGTTGTCCAAGTCTAGCATTTTGCGTATTTTCAGTAGAGCATATTCTCTTGATTCGCAACGCCTGGCTGAATGGTATGCCACGGGAGCAGTGTTTAGGATGGCAACTTTTAGGAGAAAGGAATTGATGTTTGTCCGTTTGTTTGGTATGAAGGTCCGTTATAATGGTTCCGTTCTTGATGTAACTCGTAGTGTCGAGGAAGTTTATTTTCTCCATAGATGATTCATATGTAAATTTTATTGAATGGTGGAAAGAGTTACAGTGTCCTAGAAATTCATTAAGATGTTCTTGTGAATCTGTCCATTTGAAATCAATATCGTCAATGAATCGGAACCATGATAAGGGCTGGTATGGAGCACTAGCCAAGAGGCGTTTTTCAAGTTGGCCCATAAATATGTTGGCATATGACGGGGCCATTTTTGTGCCCATACTAGTACCGTCTATCTGGAGATAATGTTTTTCATTGAAAGAGAAGTTGTTGTTCTCTAGCACTAGTTTCAGAAGTGTAACAAGGCACTCAGTTGGAGGATTTTTTTCACTACGAGTGTTCCATACCTCTTCACACGCTGCTATTCCTTCGTCTTGTGGAATGTTGGTACTAGTATATAAAGAAGACACGTCCATGGATGCAAGTATAGTATTGCTTGGTAGAGGATTGAGGCTTTCCATTTTATTTAGATAATCAGTCGTATCTTGGATGTAAGAGGGTAGTTCTTTCACATGAGGTCTTAGATGATGGTCTAAAAATTCTGATATCTTTTCAGTTGGATGACTATTTGCTGAAACAATTGGTCGACCTGGATTGCCCGTTTTATGTATTTTAGGCAACATATAGAATCTTCCGGCCTTTGCTTCGTTCTCAAGAGGTCGGAGATAATCAAAGGTGTCATTGTCTATATGCTTTTTGTCGAACATCTCTTGAAGGATGGTGTTGATCCTTCGAATATTATTTAGTGTTGGATCTGTGGTTAATTGTTTATAAAAAATGGAGTTTGAAAGTTGGCGATTTCCCTCTGCTATGTAATCTGTTTTATTCATGACAACCACAGCGCCCCCTTTGTCGGCAGGTTTTATTACGATATCCTCTTGATCTTTTAACGCTTTCAAAGCAATGCTTTCTGACTTGGATAAATTATAATTTCTTGTATTTGTTATACAGGACTTTATATCAGACCTCACGTAGTTAATGATTCAGATTCAGATACTGACACCAATGAAGAAGTCACGCCCATCCCAAAATTTAAGAAAAAAAGTTCATGGAAACCACCTAAGAGTAAAAATGATAACTTGGAGTCATTCATTAACTACGTGAGGTCTGATATAAAGTCCTGTATAACAAATACAAGAAATTATAATTTATCCAAGTCAGAAAGCATTGCTTT